AATCGCTCACGTAGTGAGGAACAAAATATCTTGACAACAAGGAGAGCATAGATCTGACCTAGGCATGAGACAAGACAAACTCTCCCAGTGTTCCTTGTCAGTTTGTCTTGTCTCATGCCTAGGTCAGATCTATGCTCTCCTTGTTGTCAAGATATTTTGTTCCTCACTACGTGAGCGATTTTCCTTTGTTCTCTTTTTTTCATCTCATCCAGAGATTTGATAGTGATTATTTTTGTTACAAATACTTTACTTCTGTCTCCTGGTTCGTGCAATTGGGTCCTATACCCTGAGTATCTGAGTTTGTAACAGTATGCAACAAACATGTTTTTCTTGCTATTCTGACCCAAAATCTTTTGAACAGGGCAGATATGATTAAGAGGGACAAAGTTTAAGGAGCTGTGTTAGGGCAAAGTATTATGTCCCAACTGCAGACATACTGCATGTAACAGTAACACATTGTAATAGATACATAGAAAATGTGATGTGAACTTTGATGGAGAAAAACAGATGCAGATAGTTTGTTACCTGTCCATTCTTCCAGTAGACCAGTCTAAAGACAGAGCCAGCCGTTCGGCCCCCACCTCCAAACTGCACAGAAGGTGCAGGCTGCGGCCCCCCTCCTACTAGAAACACACATCAGTGAGTGCAGAGGACCACAACAACACAATATATTGTCCATCTATTGGGAAGGGATCCTGGTGTTTTGTCCAATAGAGAAAACTCTGCTTTAAAATCTAACAGTTCAACACGGCCCTGCTAAACATCAGAGGCACATATGGTTGTGATGTTCTCATACTTTTTTTTGGCCCTTTTAAAAGATCCATGTCTTCAATGCAGCATATAACCCATTACGTTTCCCTGATCCATCTATTTTGTTCTTTGGCTATTTCCTAAAGGCAATGCAAGACGAGACTATTTGTATTTACGGTACGGACAACAATGAAGTTGCTATTTGGTATACAAACTCAAGCCGTCAGATTTTCCGCATTGTATACAGTTTTTGCTAACAGACACATGAAGCAACATTTATAAGTGAGTTTATTCAGAGTTATGTTCAGCATGTATGAGAAAAGGGCTCATTATTGTTGGAGAAAAACTGCTTTTAATCAGTTTTAATCTCAGAGGCTGATGTATTCAGCGATCATGTATCAAAAACTGGTTGTGATTCTACTGATGCCCCATTTCTCACCTGACTGTGTGACAGTGTGTACAGCTGCAGCTCTCCGTTGGCAGCTGCCAGTCCCAGCACCGCCTCCCCTGACACCGGCACATGGCACCTGAGAACAATAGCTACAAAATGAACAGGAAGGAAGCAGACGATGAGGTCAATAGCCACAATCGTCAAAACTATGTTCTTTTACCATTTCAAATCTAAAATAGCTGCTGTGTCCATGCGCTGTAGCTCAGTGAGAGGGGGGCTCATCGATCCCTCTCGCCGAAATTCAAAAAGGTACAAACGACCGGTCCGGCTCGGTGCAGCATCCTCCTCCCCAGCCTGCAGGAAGGATGTGGAAGTGAAATCATCAGTCAGACAGCAACAAGAGGAGTGGCTGTAGCTCCAATATGTACTGCTGCAATTCATTATATCCCAAATAATCATGTAATAAGTATGTGCAATACATTTAATTACAATCATATTTATTTATTTTTTGATTGGTTGGAATTCAAATGGAACAATCAGAATCAGGTGCAAAATAAGCAGATATGTGCAGAAGCAATGTTTCTGTGTACAATAACTCCTCCAAAAAAGGTTTGATGTTGTGCCTTTTTTTACAGACAGGGAATATATGACAGGAATAAAGTGAAAACAGGTCAGATTAGTTTCATTAATGATAAAGTTTCTCTTTTCTTAACCTGACACCACCTGTGATGCCCCTGTGTGTTCATCAGTGGAGAGGGTGTGGCTGTGCTGTCTGTGCTGCACTTGCTGCATTGATTGCAGTAACTCAGGACACCTGGGTTTGGTGTCCTGCAGTTCTTTAAAGCCTCTCTGCTCCTCTCTGTTCGCACTCTGCTTTCCCCTGCAAACACCTGGGTTTTGGTTGAGTATGAAGTACGGGTTTTCTCAGTTGCACTCTATGAATTTGGCTAATTTGAATTACTTTCTTTAATAAACATCCTTTTATACCCATTGACATGTTGTGTCTCCTTTTTGTTGTGGCCTTTTGAGCCAGGTCGCAACACCACCACTCCACATATGTAATTATATATATTAACTGCTTGTGTTTATGTTTACACTGTTGATATGTACACAGGGGCGGCAAGGTACTGTAGGGTAGGGAAGGCTAAGCCAAATGTTTGTGTCTTTGACATTAGCACTGCTATGCAGCCACCAGTGGCCTGTACTACGAAGCCAGTTCAACAGACCCATGAAATGTTTGAGTTATCTTAACTAACCATAACAATCGAGATCTTGCTAAGCGGTCCTACGACGCTGGTTATCAACTCGGTAAATCAACCCAGGGTTTCTCCGTCCAGCTGAGAGCGCGTTCACGTGAAAGGTGCGGGGTTAGCTACATTTGACCAATCACAAACATGGACAAGCGTACTGACAGCTCAGAGTCATACTTCATTAATGAAAAGTAAACTATAATATTAGACAAATATGAAGAAGTTAAACTTTAAACATCCATTACTAGAACCCATAATCCAGGATACAAGCCACATAGTTTCACCTGCAAGGTGAATACAGAACAAAAGGTTAAAAATAAACTACCGAG